AACTCCACCGTTCATTGAAAGGGTTTCCCATAGTATGCCAGAGGTACCCTTTTGTCACAGAGAAATACGAAAATCCCTTAAAAAGCTAGATACAAACAAAGCAATGGGTCCGGATGGCATTCCCGCAATAGTACTCAAAAATTGCGCCAACGAACTCACCCCAACTTTCGCAAAATTATTCAATTTGTCTTACAGGCAAGGAGTATATCCATCATCATGGAAGTCTGCCGCAGTACAACCCATTCCAAAGAAAGGAAAAAACAGAGATCCGTTAAACTATAGACCAATTGCTCTACTTCCGGTGATATCAAAAGTAATGGAAAGAGTTGTGAACAATCACCTAACCAAGTACTTGGAAAAGTACAAAATTATCAACGATAAGCAATACGGATTTCGAAAATATAGGTCAACTGGCGATTTACTTACATACGTCACTCACTTATGGCAAAAAGCGATTGAGTTTCGGGGTGAAACAAGAACAAGTGCCTTAGATATATCTAAAGCATTCGACAAAGTTTGGCATGAAAATCTGCTCAACAAGCTCAAAGCAATGGTACTATCGCCGAAACTTTGCACTTGGTTTGAAAGTTACCTAAAGGACAGATCCATTTATGTTGCACTGGATGGCCAGAACTCCAACTCTTACCAAATAAATGCTGGTGTGCCACAGGGAGCAATCCTTTCGCCAACTCTTTTTCTGATTTACATAAATGACCTCATAGATAAAACAGTAAATCCACTTTATTGCTTTGCAGACGATGGCAATGTAGTCTCCTCACTCATACCACCCACAGGTCTTTCCGCACGTGAATTCCATCATCTTAGACTAACTCAAATATCGCAGATAAATAACGACTTGGAGATAATAGAGGACTGGGGTAACAAAAACCTTGTACAGTTAAACGCGCAGAAAACCCAAGCAGCTCTGTTTTCAAAAAAGACCAGCACCGGTGAGCCAAACATCATGCTATCTGGAAGTGCTGTCACATTACAGAGTCAGTTGAACATCTTGGGGGTTACTGCAGAAACCAACATGTCTTGGCACAGTCACGTGGCAGATATTGCTAAAAGGGCGTCCCAAAGGCTTGGGGTGCTATTTCGTAGAAGACATCTGTACACACCAAGCCAATTGCTGACACTCTACAAAGCCCAGATTCGACCAACTATGGAGTACTGCTCACATATATGGAGTGCAGCACCCAAACATACCTTAATGCTTTTGAACACCGTGCAAAAACGAGCTATCAAGCTGATCAATGACCCCGCACTTACTCGTAACTTGGATGGTCTCGAACATCGCAGATCTGTGGGCGATTTATCTCTCTTCTATAGGTACTATCACGGAAAATGCTCTGAAGAGTTGGCACGTATGATTCCACCGAGAGTAGCGCCTACCAGGCGAACCCGTCAAACAGACGGTAACCATGAATTTACTGTCAAACTAGAGGCACCAAGAACCTCATTATATCAGAATTCATATCTCTGGAGAACAGCATCGCTGTGGAATAAACTCCCTGCGACGGTTTTCCCTGCAGGTTACAACCTGAACCGTTTCAAGACCAACATACACCGACATTTCCGCGCACTTGCCGCTTCTCGAGCGTGATAGGACATTTTCCTTGCGAGTGCGCATATCCGTAAAAAAAAAAAAAAAACTGTATACTGTATGACGCTAAAACTGGTTTTCATTTATTACATCAAAATTAAGCTAGCTAGATAAAGGTCCGATATCCTGACCACATATTGAGGACTACGGCGCGACGTTATTTCAACGTAAAATCATTGACGGTCACTCATCTGCACTTCTGGCGACGTTGTATTTGGTTAATACGTAGTCGCAGGGACATGCATGTGCTTCTTGTGAAGAAATGATCACTAATAACGAAAGGACATAGTACCTACTAATACCACTTGTATACTCTTATACAAAGTTGTGTAAATTTAATTACATGATACTGAACGAAATGTCCATTGAACACGTTGGTACTTCCACATTCCCCACGAAAGCTCCCATGGGTGCACCTGCCCCAATGCCCCCATGTAGTCGGCGCCAGTGCATTATATGAATTTTTAAATATCATTCCTACATCAACCATCCCTGAAAATTTGAACAGCCTAGCATTAGCCCTCCAGATGATAAGAAAGGGGGTTGTTTAATTTTCAACACCCTATATTTTGGAAACGGCGCAATTCCGACTGTCGTTGTCCTATCTCAAATTACTTCTCTATGGTTCCTCTTTATACCCTAGCATTTTAGACCAGTTGAACAGGGACACCCTGTATAATACAGTTTCACCTATTTTGAATGCGCGCTCCCGCTTGATCAAGCCATATTTCGAAAACGGTTGGTCGTCTAAAAAAATTTATATGAAAAATTTTGTAGAAAATATTATTTTACGTAAGTTTTGTTTTGGGTTCTTCGACGCCAGATGCACTGGAAGCAAGATTTTCGCAAAAAAACGATTTTCGTGACCTTTCATATCTCAAGACGCACAAGGGTAGGCACATTCGATTTTTTTGTGCTTCATAAGAACATCAAAACGAAGGTCTCTGCAAAAGTTCAGATTGTTCGGCCTCATTCCGCAGAGGAAGTCTAATTTCCCTTCTGGGGTATAGGTGCACGGTGCGCACCCGGAGTTTTTTGAGACAATTTTACCAATAGCCAAAAACTGCTGTGTTATACTATGGAATAAATAATAATAAATAATAATTTTATAAAACATACTTTTTTCTTTTTGTTCTGTATATCCGTTGCTATTACGGGTTCAAAGGAGTTGATGACAGATTTTTAGGCACTTGATTGTGCAACTTTTTCCCCATATAGTACATCCTGTATCTTTAATGGTTTCCAAAATCCTCATGTACTTCTAGTTATTTCGGACACTCTGTATATTTTAAAGTATAGGTACTGTTCACATTCCATAGACTACACTTTTTTATTTCCCAAATATAGAAGCCTTACGCTATTTGTTTTAGATTTCCTTCAGTTAGAAATTTTATAAGGAAAAACGCGTCTGTTTTTCATTTCGAGAAATACTAAAGTCTGTTTTTTTTTTAAATTGTCAATGCTTTCAAATTTTTTATGTAGAAAAGGCTTGTGTTGCCAACATAGTTACTAAATTTCTGACTTGGGGAATTCTCTTTAAAAAAAAAACAGACTTTGAAATAGAACTTGGTACAAACCATAGCCGGGCAAATAGTACTAGCACAACCGAAAATCGAGAAAATTCTCAAAAGGGTTTTTTTGGTTTATTTGTGGACGCTAAGGATTCCATCATTGAATAGATTATTTATAGGCCAAGCAATGAAGGAAGTTTACCTCAACATAATAAGAAGTTAACATTTTTTGGGGGGGATCGGTTCATTTTCATGTGCTTAATAACATATTAAGTTTGCGACCTTGTGCTTCCATAGGGTTTTTAGTTAGGGGTGGTTTTTAGGGGTAATTTGCGGTTTATGAAGAACGCTGCACAAAGGGATGGTCCAATAGCAAAAAGTTTCAAATGATTGTCGTAGCTGAAGTTTTTTGCTATAAAAAACTCAGCGACAGCACCCTTCTATCTTCTATAGTCTTTTTTCTGCAGCGTCTTGAATACTAGCATGTTTATATTCAAGGTCACTGAATCAACATTTCACGTGCTTTCGCGCATTTGATGCAGCAGCGGCCAAATGCATAATCCGATTTCAATTTTTCAAAAACTACATTATTGCTGATGAAATGCACTCTCGAATGCTTTTTTGTTCGAATTTTTTGCTTGAAAATTAAGCGAGCACGGACTTGTCTAATGTGCGAGGAACTGGTAAATTGCATCGAAAACTACCCCTTTCTTGCATTCCTGTAATTTCTAAACGGGTCCAAATATTTGGTGACAGTTTTCGACAATCGGCAGCCCATTTATTCCTCTCATATTGCCCCAACGGATTTTTTTTTTCATTAATTACTCAATGACTTATTGACCTGAACACGTCGCGCGGAATTTTTTAAAAAGTCAAAAGAAATTAAAATTGTCGCACAGCGCTGAAATTTGGTACGATGGCTTTTTTTATTGTTTATATGAATATACTGCAATTTTAATTGCTTCATATGACTGCTGCAACAATTAAAATTGCAGTATATTCATGAGAACAATAAATAAAGCCATCGTACCAAATTTCAGCGCTGTGCGACAAGTTTAATTTTTTTTGACTTTTTTAAAAATTCCGCGCGACGTGTTCAGGCCAATAAGTCATTGAGTAATTAACGAAAAAAAAATCCACTGGGGCAATATGAGAGGAATAAATGGACTGCCGATTGTCGAAAACTGTCACCAAATATTTGGCCCCGTTTAGAAATTACAGTGAATGCAAGAAAGGGGTAGTTTTCGATGTAATTTACAACTTCCCCGCACATTAGACAAGTCCGTGCTTGCTTAATTTTCAAGCAAAAAATTCAAACAAAAAAGCATTCGAGAGTGCATTTCATCAGCAATAATGTGGTTTTTGAAAAATTGAAATCGGATTATGCATTTGGCTGCTGCTGCATCAAATGCGCGAAAACACGTGAAATGTTGATTCAGTGACCTTGAATAAAAACATGCTAGTATTCAAGACGCTGCAGAAAAAAAACTATAGAAGATAGAAGGGTGCTGTCGCTGAGTTTTTTATAGCAAAAAACTTCAGCTTCAACAATCATTTGAAACTTTTTGCTATTGGACCATCCCTTTGAGCAGCGTTCTCCATAAACCGCAAATTACCCCTAAAAACCACCCCTAACTAAAAACCCTATGGAAGCACAAGATCGCAAACTTAATATGTTATTAAGCACATGAAAATGAACCGATCCCCCTCAAAAAATGTTAACTTCTAATTATGTTGAGGTAAACCCTCTTTTCAGATCCCCGTTTCTTGGACTATTATGTCAGTATGCATCTTAATAATGTCTGCTTAAAGATACAATTTTAGTTTTTCCAAAATTGTACAAATTGAAAACATAACCAATAGATTTAAACAAAAATAGTTACCTAAGATAAATCACTCCCCACATATAAGTCCGAAACCACGTCGTTGTACCAGAATTAGCTTGGTACTTTCGGATCAGAATTGGATGTGGCACTGGTAACAAACCCACCAAGGTTCCATGTTGCAGAAATTTGAGAATTTCGCTTTCATCAGTAAGACCCCTAAAAAACATAAATTTAATAGGTTATTGAAGCCACTTTCAGATAAATTGTGCAGCTGGATTTGGACATTCTTTGAGATTGCTATGTCAGCACAGTACCTACTTACTTATCTATGCAAATTTTCTCAACTTGCGGAACCAGTACTTGTAAAAGTCTCATTATAGTTTGTAGCGGTAACTTGCTTTTCCAGGAATGCACCCATTCGCCTGTGGGTACCCATTGGCCGCCATTGTGGTCGTTTGATGTTACCCTTAGACTATTTCTCTAGAAAATTATTTTTTTTCAGCCTAATTTTCATAGAATCTAGAATACACTCACCGTATTCACAGATCTGGAAAAATTAGAAACTTCTGGACTCTCTGGTAAAATATTTTTTGTTTCTTGTATTTTTTCCTATAAAAAATCAAGTGGTTTTATTCGAGTTATTGTACAGATAACACAAATTGACGAATTTTATTGGTGGAAAACAGTCAGAAAGCTAGTTTCAACCAATAAAATTCACTCTGACTGGTTTGTGATTTCTGTGCGAACAGACTTAATAGTAAGTAATGAAACAAAATAAGTGAAACTGTTAAGTTTCTATAGACATAAAAAAATTGAGGAATCTAGAGAAGAATATAAAATTATAGAGACTAAAAATACATGGTACAAAATCGATAAATATAGTCGACACTCAACTCACACTGTGAGTTTATAGACTCATCCAAGGTAATTTTTGATTTACATAAAGATATGTCTTACCTCTGCCACTGATCCGTTTCCAATTGAAACAGCTGTTGCAGATGGACTATTCAAAGCTATAGCCGCCATTCCATTGGTTAAAGGCTGTTCGTTAGGTGTCGGAGCAGGATGCGCAGATTCTCTCTCTGTCATTTGCCCAATTTGAGGTGTATCTGGTAAAGTAGCCTGAAAATACAATTATTTACAACTCTAGCCTATTTTATGAACAAACAAAAAAAGTATAACATACTTTTAAAGTCCCTGGTTCTGCTGGTAGAGCTGGATGAGAACCTTCCATGACAATTTCCGAAACGTTTTCGCTACTAACCGAGGCGCGGATCTTGGCAAATTTTGATTTTTTATTTATGGATTTGGCTATTGTTCCATAATCGCTCGGTAAATTAGCCAAACTATGGAACACCTGCCGTTTCCTGATAATGGTGTAAACCAAATTGGAATTGCCATCGAACTGGTACTGGATTATATTATTGAAGATTTCCAACAAGAAGAATACCAAATGATGGTTTTGCGGCGCCGAGAATAAGAACCAAGGGGTGCTGAAAGCTTCTAGAAGGTGTAGAAGTTTGGTACTTGCTACCATTGACAGAGTTTTTAGGTAAGGAGATACTGAAACAAATATTATTATGAACGTTTAACATTTTTACAAGCCTTTAATTCAAATTTTGATACATATATTAAGAATTATTTTAATTACAAATTCTAAAAGTAGTGTTATGAAATTACATGGCGCGAAAAAGACGGCACCCCTGCGTATATTAGTAACCAAAATTTGTGGTGACATTAATATAAAAATTCTTAAAACTTCTTTTAGAGGCTTGATATATATATTCGCTAATCCTCAAATAACACATCTCAAAAATGTGATAAACATTAAAATTGAACGTCATTAATTACTTACCATTGACTAGAATAGTTAAAAGGCAATCAAAAAGCGGCTGAAGTCTTTGATGGCCAGTGGTAATTATTTTATGAAAAACAATGACCAATAAGTCAGCATGGGTTCCAGTAAATACTGGTATATCCATTGGAACGGTTGCTGTGTACGGTTTATTGAGGCGAACACCCAAATTTCGTTCGCCGGATAAAAGGAGCAGAATGAAAACGCCTATGTGCATTAGACCTACTCGAGCTAGAAATAATTAATAATATGTATTATGTAATTATAATTAACACAGTATTGTGATAGCAAAATGAAAAATTTAAGTTGATTTTTGTGTCTAGCAATAATAATAAATAAAAAGTTTTTGAAAAAGCATACTAATTAACAAGTCGGCTTAACGATACCTTTTAAAATAGACAGATTTTGACACAAATTATACCCCAACGTCGAATTTGTTTATCTCACTATAACTAAAGATTATAGTTGAGAAAAAAACTTACATTGATCAGCTCTAGAATCATTGAGATGATACAAAATCGGCACCAAAACGTCTAGCACATCACTGCTTTTCAAAACAAAATACAGGAATTTCTAGAAAACATCAAATTTAGGAAAATTATAATAAAAAATCCCAAAACTAGATATACATACCTTGTTATAATCACACATTTTCCAAAAAAACACCAGCAATTCTTGATGAAAATGAACTTTTTTTGTCGAATTCGGCAAGTAGGTTTGCATTAAAGGATTATTCAAAAGCCTTGTTACACCGCACAAAATAAAATGAAAATCTTCGTCCCTGTGTATTCTCGATAAATAATTTATAAAGAGATTATCAGGAATTGTAGTCTAAAAACAATAGATGGCCACAAATAAATCAATAATCATAAAAACCACTTACGTCTTCACTTTCTGCAGGCGTAGACGAACTTGTATCGTGGTCCAGAGTAACAATTAAAATTTGTAGAGACGCCTCCACTAAAGGTTCGATGGAATCATTGAAAATCAGGTGGTTATATGGTACTCCTAAGCCAACGGGGTCATAAGCGGAAACAGTGTTGAGAAGGGAGGTGAACATTGGTAAAGCGTGACGGTTTTCTGCTGAAGTCAAATGCCTGAAAAAAGAAATTTGTCATTAATAATAATTGCGACTAAAAAAAAATGATAAAGAAAATAATACACTGAGAACTAAAAGTACATATGTGAAGACGGCCATAAAAAACACGTGAGGAATGGTGTATGCCTCGGTGTATGCAGTACCTGGCATTCCTATAAAATGGCCCTAAACGACCTATCTGGATTTGGATGTGTAAGAGGGGTCACTGTCATAACACTTAGGCCTCTTTATCATCTATGAGTTGTCTATAAGATTGCTACATAATTAATTTTAAATTTTTTCAATTTGCTAAAACATGACTTTTCTAGACAGTAATTTGTAATTTGGAATATGAATATCGTTCCGCCGTCTTGTGGCACGATACTTTTACAAAACCTATATTCACTCAAAAAACTAATCAATCATCTATTGAAATAAATATTTGTGTATGTTTATAAAAACCTAGGAGAGAAGATTTTCGGCGTATTTCTTCTTTGTGAAATAAAAATGGGATTCAATGATGTTGCCTGTCCCCAGCGCAGAATCATGTATTTTTAGTGGATGGGAATCAAAGCACAATGTTGCCTAAACTCCGTAATATTATACAGGAGGGCACATGGTGACATTATTCTCATGATTATTGAATGATTTATAAAAGAAAACGAAAAATAACAAAGGCCTTCTATTCTCCTACGGTCGCCATGTCATAGACAATTTCCTTGATAAAAATGTTCAAATTTGGAGATAATATCAGATACAATTTAAAGTAGAAAACTATTTTATTAACCGGAAAATGAACAATAGAAATTAATAAAAATAATATAAAAAATGACTACTACTTTGACAAATTGTCACACTAACTAAAAACTGGTTCACAGGTGTACAATAGTTATTTTTCTACAAACGTGTTAAAAATGCAATTTTTAACACCGCCCCGAAGCATTAAAAATGTTACTTTATCGCACTAGTGCCATAAAGTCTTTATAGCACTAGTGTTAAAAGTAAAACATCAAATTTTGAGAGCGGACGTCAAAAAAAGTTTGTATTTTCAGTTATTTACATTGATATTAATGGTGAAATTTGAACAACTGAGGTAGCCCGATTGGCCGCTTCATCTATATTTTTCGAAGGATCGATGCAACCCTCTTTTTCTTCTGTATTTTGTTGCATTTTTAGCAAAAAGCATTCCTGACCACGATAGACTTTCAAGAAACTGAAAAGACATTTCGTTACCTGTAAAACAAGGTGCTGGTTGTATGGATTTTTTGACAAATGTCAAATTCGAGAATTTTATGTAGGAAAGATGCTTCCAATTTATTATTCATTTAAAAATCCAATTTGTTACTGGTTATTGCTTTTTATTACGGTTTGTAGAAAAAATATTGTATGATATTTGTGTTAAAAGTATTTTTAAGGCACTTATGTGAATTGCAGAATTCGCTTCGCTCATTCTGCAAACTTTCACATGCGTGCCTTAAAAATGTACTTTTAACACTTATATCATAAATAACTATTATGATATAAGTGCTAAAAGTGACATTTTATTTTGTGAAAAGGGAAGTTTGGGACACGACGCCGAAGGCGGAGTGTTCCATCCCTTTGAACAAAATAAAATCACTTTTAGCACGAATATCATACACTATTTTTTCTACAAACACTGTTTAAAAGTCCAAATTAACGCATCCTTGAAATCCTCAATTTCAAATCTTTCATCTAATTTATTTATGAAATAGGTTGCTGGCAAGAAAAAAAAACGAATTTGTTTATTTTTATTTGTCATCTCTGTTTGTCATTGTTGATTAATAACGTCAAATAATCACGAATTTTTGCTTACGGTTTCTGCACAATTTTTGGTTTTTGCGTGGTTTCATCAAGTTTCATTGTAGTTTATTTTCTGGGCGATGGAAAGTGATCAAGACAATGAATTTCTCCCGGCGGAAATTGAAGAAGCTGCCAATAAAGCTACTTTCGAATTATTGCCTAGCAAGTCAAAGCAACAGTACGAGTTTTCATACAAAAGAACATTGCGGATCAAATTCTGCCCAAAAGTTCGGAGAATAACATTGCTCTTTACTCTCCTGGTACAAGTTTTACCAAAATAAATTCAGTATTTGCTACCAATGAGATTGGCCATGGAGTTTCTTATTCTAATTACAGTTTCGCTAATTTTAATTTAATTAAATAAATATTTTACTTTGATATAAAATTTCCTATGTTTTTATATTTTCTGATCAGTGCTAGAAGTGATTACTTTTAGCACTAGTGCTAAAAGTAATCACTTTTAACACCAGTGTCATAAAATGGCATTTTAGACACTGACAGCATCCGTTAAAAATGACACTTTTAGTGACGTTTGTAGAAAAAAAATAATTATAAATAAAAGAATGCAATCCTATTGATTGTCTCAAACCTTGATACAGACCCATGAAAACTGTTTACCTATTCAAATTTAAAAATGATTATTGTTGAACAAGTATATTATTTCAACACCCCCTCTCAACCATAATTATTTTTCAATCAGTCAGACAGGCCACTCTTGGCACTTAAATATTCCAACTTCACTTTATTTAGCGGCTTGGTTAACATATCAGCAATCATATCCTCAGTCGGACAATATTGTAAATCAAAAACCCGCCTTTCACACAATTCTTTCACAAAGTGATACTTTGTATCAATGTGTTTTGTTCTATTACTAAATTTATGGTTTTCTAGTTGCTTAAGACAACTTTGGTTGTCTTCATACATAACTACTCTCGGTTCCAAATCCACAAACTCCTGTATCATCTGCTTTAACCAAATTGCTTCTTGACAACCCTCAGCTAGTGCTATGTACTCAGCTTCAGTTGACGATAGTGACACACAGCTCTGCTTCCTGCATCCCCAATTAATAGGTGCACCCTGTATCATGAATATGTATCCGCTATTCGATTTTCTGTTCTGTTTATCTTCCGCCCAATCAGCGTCTGCATATCCATATAGTACACTATCTGAACTGCGTTCTCCTAATACGAGTTTTTTATGTTTTGTTTTCTTTAAATATCTCAACACTCTTTTAGCTTCATTCCAGTCAACTTCTTTCGGATCCTTATTGTGTTGACTTAATATGGTTACACTAGCCAATATATCAGGTCTCGTATTTTCTGCAATGTATAGCAATCCTCCGATTAATTGTTGGTATATTTCACTATTTTTCATAGGCTCCAGCCGGTCTAGTTTATAATATCCGTTATCCAATGGTATATTTGATGTTTTTGAATCTTTCATTCCAAACTTGTCTAACAGTTTGTCTATATACTTTGCTTGATTCAAACTGTAAATTCCTTGATCATTTTTCACAATATTTATTCCTAAATAATTTTTTAATAACCCCAAACTTGTTATCTCAAAATGATGTTTTAATTTTTCTTCAAAAAAGTCAATTTCTTCAATATCCTTTGCTGCAATCAATATATCATCTACGTATATTATTATGTAAACCCTTTGGTCATCGATAATCTTAATATACAAACATGCATCAATATTACTTTTACGAAATCCATCAGTTGTCAATATTTCATCAAGTTTCTGTTCCAGATTCTGGCAGACTGTTTCAATCCGTATAAGCTCTTGTTCAATTTGCAAACATAACTTGTGTCTCCTTCTTCAAATCCTTCAGGTTGTTTCATATAAATTTCTTCTGTCAGTTCTCCGTTTAGGAAAGCTGTTTTTGCATCTAAATGTCTTATTGTGAGATCTTGACTCCATGCCTGTGTTAGCAATATTCGGAAAGTTGCTTGCCGCACTACAGGTGCGAATACTTCATCGTAATCAACTCCGAATTTTTGGCTAAAACCCCTCGCCACCAGTCGTGCCTTATATTTGTTCGACGTTTTATCTTCACCTGTCTTTAGCTTGAATATCCATTTACATGATACTATATTTTTTCCTTTCGGTGCATGTACTAAGTTCCATGTTTCGTTAACCTTTAATGATTTGAATTCGTCTTGCATAGCTTGCATCCATTTTCCACTATCTTTTCTGGCAAGAGCTTCCTTGAAGTTTTTGGGCTCTATTTCTTGTAGTTCAACGAACTTTGCTACGTAGCGCTCGGGTGGAACTCCCTTATTTACTCTATTTGATTTACTACGGCCACCCACGTCATACATGCCAGGTTCTTTGCTTGGTTGATAGCTTTGACCACTGCCTTCTTCTATTTCCTCGATATTTTCGAAATCGGTGACCTCTTTTTCCTCTGAGTTGTTTGGTTCGTTTTTCTCCTGTGCTTTTGTCAATTCGAAAAACACTTCCGATAAAACTTCTTGCCTTTTCTTTTTTTTTTTTTTATTTTCTTCAATATATGTATTACTTTCGGGGAACACCACACTACGACTTATTTTTATACGCCCTGTATATTTATCCAACAACCTAAATGCTTTAGATTCATCAGAATATCCCACGAAAATTAACGACTCCGCCTTTTTATCAAATTTATTTTTAATTAGTTCCTTTGGAATGTGACTGTAAACTCTAGACCCAAATATTTGCAAATTCGACACGTCAGGTTTAACTTCATGCCATAACTCAAAAGGTGTTTTATGTTTTGACTGGGTAGGTAGTCGATTTTGCAAATAATTGGCTGTAACTATTGCTTCACCCCAAAATTTCTTTGATAAATCCCCATCAATTAACATACACCTAGCCATCTCAACTAGCGACCTATTTTTCCTCTCAGCAACCCCATTTTGCTCTGGAGAGTACCCTGCAGTGTACTGAATTTTTATGCCCTTACCCTTTAAATATTCCCTCAAAAAATTATTTACATACTCACCACCCCTATCCCACCTAAAAGCCTTCGGAACCCTGCCTGACTGATTATTCATTAACTCAATAAATTCTTTAATTTATTTTAAAGTTTCATTTTTATGATTCATTAAATATACAGTTGTATACCTTGAGAAATCGTCAATTAAAGTAAGAATGTATCGCTTACCTCCCGGAGTGACAGTCTTCATGGGTCCGCAAACATCTGTATGTATTAAATCAAGTATATATGTATTATTTTGAGAATTTTTCGGGAAACTCTTGCGGATAATTTTACCTTGTACACAACAATTGCAAGTTTCTCTGATCCCACAGTCCTTAATAATAATCCCGGATGCCATTTTTCTTTCCATCAGGTGCTTGATTGCTTCCATGTCCCTGTGCCCAAATCGTCGATGCCATGTATGCTGACAGTCACTTGAATGTTCATTAGTAACGCTTAGTGCCTGCTGCACGGTAGATAACTTGTACCAGTCGGGCGCCGGGCTTGCACTTGCTATCACTTTTTCGTGTAAAACGATTTTACATTCACTGTCGTTAAAATGCACGTTATAACCCGCACTTGTTAGTTTTTTCACAGAAAGTAGATTTGAATCCAATTGCGGCACAAACAACACATCATCGATTTTTAGCTCGTATACTTCCGCTCTATTTACACACTTGATGCATCCTGTGCCTATGCCTTCAACTTTGGAGTGCTGCCCCTTCTCTGCTAGTCTCACAACGCCTTTTCTGCTTTCATCAAACTGGGTATAAAATCCCTTAGAATTAACCATGTGACTCGAAGCTCCTGAATCCACATACCACGAAGCAGAATCCCGTTTCACGTCGCTAAAATTTACCATAAAACACATATCATCAGTATTATTTTCACTAACTGTATTGGCCCTTTCTTTTATAAACGCCTTATACTTAAAACAATCCCGTTTAAAGTGGCCTTTTCTGTTACAAAAGTAACATTGCTTTCCGTCTGTGTTTGCACTGTTTGCAGCATGATTACTTCTGTCACCTTTATATACTGACTTCATGGCTAACTCCTCTTGAATTCTCAAAGATCCTTGACGTCTCCTGTACTCATCGATTAATTTACTTTTGACGAATTCCAGCGTAAATTCATTTGATGGTTTACTTTCCAGCGCTGTAATTAAAAAACTGTACGAGTCTGGAAGACTTCCCAGCAAAATCCCTGCTGCAAATCTGTCCTTAATTTCTTCTCCTAAGGCGGCCAATTTGTGCAATAATTCCAAGAATAAACTGATGTGTGCTTCCATATCACCATTTTCTTCTAGCGTCAACCTGCAAATCCGCTTTAATAGAAACACCATGCTAGATAAACTTGATTTTTGGTGATACTCCTTTAGTGCTTCCCACGCCTCACGTGCATATTGCTTATTTCTGATATGCACCAATTGACTAACATCGACAAGTAGGGCTATAGTTGATAAGGCTTTGTCATTTTCCTTTTTCCATTTGGCGTCTTGCGCTGCTTGTGTTGGTACTGCAGTCGATACTACGTCCCATAAATCAGCATTTATGAGTAACATTTTCACCAGATAATTCCATGACTCGTAATTCTGCCCGTTCAATTTTGCAATGTTATACTTGGCACCTTCCGCCATTATTCCGGTTTTTAAGAGTTTCCGCGAACACAACTCGCGATTGTACCCTTTATTTATTATCTCTTACAGGAGAGCTAACGCGACGTAGCTGGGCCCATAACCTGTTCAAATTTGGAGATAATATCAGATACAATTTAAAGTAGAAAACTATTTTATTAACCGGAAAATGAACAATAGAAATTAATAAAAATAATATAAAAAATGACTACTACTTTGACAAATTGTCACACTAACTAAAAACTGGTTCATAGGTGTACAAAAAATAATTATAAATAAAAGAATGCAATCCTATTGATTGTCTCAAACCTTGATACAGACCAATTACAGACCCATGAAAACTGTTTACCTATTCAAATTTAAAAATGATTATTGTTGAACAAGTATATTATTTCAACAAAAAATACTTACATAATCCATTTGTTAGGGTTAGTGGCTATGTCGGCAGGAGGTTGATACATAGTTTCGCTGAAACATGTCATTAATAGCTTCAGTAGCTCAGTCCTATTGGAATCGTAAATGGGATTTCTTGGTGGCGAATGGGCAAATCCAACTCCAGCCTCCCAAATATATTCACAACTGTCTATCAAAGACAAATCTTCTGCTTTATCCTAAAAACGAGTACAATAAGTTTTAAATAAATTTCAATAAATCATGTTCACGTACTGGTCCACTTTTCCTGCCAGCAGCTACAGTAAAGTCAGGGCAAAACAGCAAATCCTAAAATGGTGAATATTGAAACAGTCGAATAAATTTGTAATAATTGACTTACACAAATAGCATTTAGCAACGATTGTGCTAGAGGTAAGGTTTCTTGTTCCTCTTCCTCATTTTTACTGGGTAATGATGACCAAAAGAACCCTTTCCATTCAGAATCCTCGAAAATGTATGGCAAGATTCTAGTTAGTAGTCGAGTGCAATTTAAAACTGAAAATGTAATTTCAATTTCAATTCAATTTATTAAACAATCATGTACACAAATTTATATATTTTTACATTCCTCATTCACCATACTAATTAATCAATTAGATATAAAACACAGTGTCACAACAATAGATCAAAGTCAGCAGCAACATCCCTATCTAGAAATTCCCTATAATGATAAAAAATCCGGCCTAACAAATATTTCTTAACTACAGACTTAAATCGCTGAGCTGTCAACTCTCTTACAGATACAGGCAGCTTATTATAAAAGACAGGAGCAAAATTAAGTGTTACAGTGTTGCATGCCTTGATGTTCCTATTTTGAGAAAATTAATCGATCCTAATATTGTCGCGACGTCTGGTATCATGATGGTGTGTTTCACCCAGAGCCGCGAAATTATGCAAATTACCGTGCATGTACAGGGTGGTTGATTTTCGATAGTTTGATAGGGTACAGCCAAAATGGCCGAAGATACTGAGAAACTGATATATGCTTCCCGTCCCCTTTTTTAGTGTGTCATTTGATGCTGTAGTCAGATCTTGGCCAACAAGTTTGGTTTGCGAGGTACAGGGTGTTTTTCAAAATCAGCTGTTTTTTATAATCCTCTATAACTTCTTACCCTACGGAGATATAGAAAAAGTGCAAAAAGGAAAAAATACGTCTTTTTTACGTAGAATCCAGTGGCGTACTTAGAAAAAATATGGGGGCTTTATCTTCTAAGATATTCGAAAAAACAAAGATTTTTCAAATGGAACACCCTCTATCTTATTGGTTCAGTATTTTGAGAAAAAAATTGCGAGTTCAACGATACATAACACATGATATTTTGTTTTAGTCTAAATGGCGAAAGCAACAAAAAACACTTTTTTCTACTACCGTGCGTAAAGTACTCACTTTACGCACTATTCAGAAGACGTAAAATTTCTCTTCACGCAGTAGTGCGTAGTGCGTAAAGTAATGTCACTGACAGATGTCGACACTGTCAAATTACTATTTTTCTGGTAAATTACTTCACGCACTAGTGCGTAAAGTGGAAATACTTTACGCACTAGTACGTAAAGAAATTCTCTAAATTTATTTTTTCACACATATTTGATTGGTAGTAGAAAAAAATTTGTATGCAATACGTGCGTAAAGCACCTTTTTTCACTCATGTGATTGTCGCACTCGCCTTCGGCTCGTGCGTCAAAATTCACTTTCGTGAAAAAAGGTTCACTTTACACACTTGTTGCAAAGTACTCAGTTTACGAACTATTCAGAATACGTAAAATTTCACTTCACGTACAAGTGTGTAAAATAACTCACTTCACACACTAGTGCGTGAAGTAATGTCAATGACAGATGTCGACACTGTCAATTTAGTATTTTTCCGGTGAATTACTTCACACTCCAGTGCGTAAAGTGAAAATATTTTCCGCACTAGTGCGTAAAGTATATATGTATTTGTTTAAATTTATTTTTTTACACATATGTATTTGATTTGTAGTAGAAAAAATTTTGTATGCAATACGTGCGTCTAGCACCTTTTTTCACGAATGTGAATTATGACGCACGAGCCGAAGGCGAGTTCGACAATCACATTTTACACACTTGTTGCATAAATAACTATTTCAGGGAAAAATTAGACAAAAAAAAAATCTAGAATTTTCAAATTTTCAAAGCAAAAAAAAATCTGGGATTGAATTTTTGGAAACTTTAAAAAAAAAAAAAATCTGGATGCATTTTTGAAAGAAAAATGACAAATTTCAAAAAAAAAAATCTGGATTCTTTTTTTCAAAAGATGAAAAATTCTGGAATTTTCTTTCAATAAATAAAAAAAAATCTTTTTCAAAAAATAAAAAAAAATTGCAATGTTTCTTTCAGGGAAAAGAGCTGAAATTTAATTTCTGGAATAATTTTGATAAAAAAAATCCGAATGCTTTTTTGAAGGAAAAATGACAAATTAATTTCTAAAATTTTCAAAAAAATTCTGGAATTTCCTTTGAAAAAAAAAATTTTGGAAAAACAAAATTCTGGAATTTTCTTCCAGGAAAAAAAAATAACAATTGGAATTTTATTTCGGAAAAAATTTTGAAAAAAATTGAAGGAAAAATTTCGAGAATAGTATATTGTGTAAGTTGACGGGCGAGGCGTAGCCGAGGCCGGCAAACACCGAAGGCCGAGAATGTGCTTATCCACCGAAATACACATAGGTACTATTTTTTCTGCGATCGGTTAAATACCTGTTAAATGTTTGTCTTTTAGTTCCAATTATTCAGCAATACGAGAATCACTTTCCCGGCCTAGGCCGGAAAAGTGATTCACGTATTGTTATTCATTGATTCCTTAGCAACTATTGAAACATAATTGAAATACCAGAATATTGAGTTTTGCGACCTGTCAACTGGTCAAAAATGCTGACATTTCTTGTCAATCGCAGAAAAAAAGAAAAAGTTCAGTTTTTTTTAGAAATTAGTCCGGAAGGAAAATTCCGGAATTTTTCTTTTTCGAAATTTATCCTTCAAAAAAGCATCCAAAATTTTTGTTCAAAAATACATATTCCCAAAATAAAATTCCAGATTTTTATTTTCTTTTTTTCAATTTTTCCTGAGAGCAAATTCTAATTTTTTTTCAATTTTTGAAAGAAAATTCCTGATTTTTTTATTTTTTTAAAGAAAATTCCAGAGTTTTAAATTAAAGGAAAAATGACATTTCCAAAAAAGAAAAATTCTGCAATTTTCTCTCAAAAAATAAAAAATTCTGGAATATTTTTTCAAAAAATAAAAAAAAAAATTGTAATTTTTCTTTCAGGAAAAATTTCAAAAAAAAAACCTTTAAGGGAAAAATAAAAATAAAAAAATCAAGAATTTTCTTTCAAAAAATGAAAAATTTAGGAATTTTCTTTCAAAAATTGAAAAAAAAAAAATTGGAATTTTCTCTCTGAACAAATAATTGAAGAAAAGAAAATCTGGAATTTTTTTTCAGGAATATTTTTGAACAAAAATTTTGGGTGCTTTATTGAAGGATAAATTTCGAAAAAGAAAAATTCCGGAATTTTCCTACCGGACTAATTTGAAAAAAAAAAAAATCTGAAATTTTTATTTTTTCGAAATTTTTCCTTCAATTTTTTTTTAAATTTTTTTCTGAAATAAAATTACATTTTTTTTTTTGTTTCCTAAAAGAAAATTCCAGAATTTCGTTTTTTCAAATTTTTTTTTTCGAAGGAAATTCCAGAAAAGTAGTAGTAGTAGAATGGTTATTTATGATATAAGTGCTAAAAGTGACATTTTATTTCATGAAAAGGTAAATTTGGGACACGACGCCGAAAGCGCCCTTTGAACAAAATAAAATCACTTTTAGCACGCATATCATACACTATTTTTTCTACCAATGCACTAAAAGTGATTACTTTTAGCACTCAGTAGGTACTAAAAGTAATCACTTTTAACACCAGTGTCATAAAATGGCATCTAAGACACTGACAGCATCCGTTAAAAATGACACTTGTAGTAACGTTTGTAGAAAAAAGTGTTTTTTGTTGTTTTCGCCATTTAGGCCAAAACAAAATATCATGTGTTATATATCGTTGAACTCGCAATTTTTTTCTCAAACTACTGAACCAATAAGATACAGGGTGTTCCATTTGAAAAATCTTTGTTTTTTCAAATATCTCAGAAGATAAAGCCCCCATATTTTTTCTAAGTACGCCACTGGATTGTACGTAAAAAAGACGTATTTTCCTTTTTGCACTTTTTCTATATCTCCGTCGGGTAAGAAGTTATAGAGGATTATAAAAAACAGCTGATTTTGAAAAGCACCATGTACCTCGCAAACCAATATTGTCGGTCAAGATCTGCCTACACCATCAAATGACACACTAAAAAAGAGGACGGGAAGCGTATATTATTAATTATAATAACAAAGTGCGAAATGCTCATCCCACCAAGCCAACAACCACTTCCTCGTAAAATGTGGCACTATAAATCGGCAAAATGGAATGACCTAAAACAGTTTTACCTGGATTTTCCATGGCAAGAGGTTTGCTTTAAAACAGCTGATCCCACTATTTGCTGTAATGAAATAACACAAGTAATCTTATCTGGAATGGATGCATATATCTCACATACAACTAAACGTAGAGCTAATGCAAAACCTTGGTTCAACAGCCAGTGTCAAACGGCTGTACAAAAAAAACACAGAGCATATAACCTTTGGAAACGACAACAAACCGCACAAAACGACACAGAATTTATAGAAGCCAGAAATAGTTGCAAAATGACTATTGACTCCGCTAAAGAAACATACAATCAAAGAATAAAAAACAGGTTGCTGAATTGTCCAAGTAGTTCTAGGTCCTTTTGGTCTCTTGCAAAAGCTGTTGGATCTAACTTCACCAAGTCATCCTTACCACCACTTACAGATAAAAATAATCACTTAGCCACAACATCAGAGGAAAAAGCCAATATGCTGGCCCAAATGTTTTCCTCCAACTCCAACCTAACAGTGCCAAACGGAAAAACTCCACCGTTCATTGAAAGGGTTCCCATAGTATGCCAGAGGTACCCTTTTGTCACAGAGAAATACGAAAATCCCTTAAAAAGCTAGATACAAACAAAGCAATGGGTCCGGATGGCATTCCCGTAATAGTACTCAAAAATTGCGCCAACGAACTCACCCCAACTTTCGCAAAATTATTCAATTTCTCTTACAGGCAAGGAGTATATCCATCATCATGGAAGTCTGCCGCAGTACAACCCATTCCAAAGAAAGGAAAAAAGACAGATCCGTTAAACTATAGACCAATTGCTCTACTTCCGGTGATATCAAAAGTAATGGAAAGAGTTGTGAACAATCACCTAACCAAGTACTTGGAAAAGTACAAAATTATCAACGATAAGCAATACGGATTTCGAAAATATAGGTCAACTGGCGATTTACTTACATACGTCACTCACTTATGGCAAAAAGCGATTGAGTTGCGGGGTGAAACAAGAACAATTGCCTTAGATATATCTAAAGCATT